GGCTTATGGGTCAGGGCTTTGGGTTTAGGGTGCAGGGATTAAGGTTTAGGGCTTTTCGGGCAGGACTGGGCGTGCGACGGCCCATAGAAACAGAAAGCTAGGGCGCCTAAATGAGCCCGAAGAAGAGTATTTCTAATTTTGTTTAGGGTTTAGGGCTTAAGGTGAGTATTTCTGATTATTGAGGCTTGGTTGGATCAAGCTAAGTCTTGCAAATTGCATGAAAGGTTTCGGGATCCAGCGTGTTCGGATGTGTCGGGATCGAGTCACTAAGCCCCAAGTCATTAAGCCTTTGAAAGGATTCTATTTGGCAAAGTAGGGCGGTGAGGGGCTTGAACCCTAAATCGTTGTCGCTTGAGAACTCAAGGTCTGCAGAGGTTTGGAATCTGATGACTTGATTCACGACACAGTTGCGTGACGAACCACATTCGTCAAGCTTGTTCACAAAGATAAGAGGTTAGATGGATGGACGGATGGATAAACAGACGGATAGAGAGATGAACAGATAAATAGCAGACGTCTAGCATACGAAGCCTCTTGGGCCCTCTAAGTCGAGGCTTCGTAGATATAGGCTGTCCTATCCAGATCTCACAGCGCGTTCATAGGATTTTGCAACGGTTCTCTATACAGACTCCGTTGCAATTAGAATGGTGATTGGGGGTGCTTTTTTGCAAAGTACTCCTATGTTGCAAACAACTACAATAAAGCTTCGAAAACGCGAAACCGTTACATGAAACCGAAAGCTTAAACTGCCCTCAACCAAAGCTTTTGGGCTCCAGGGCTTAGGGCAATTATTCGTGAAACTCGGCTCAAGGAGTGTAACGATCCTTTAAGAAACATCCTAAATCCCGAGTCATGCATATTTTACCCGGCGCAAACCTTAAACCGCTCTTCTTGCGAGGCAAGCAGCCCCTTCCAGTCCCGCCGTCGTGCGTTCCACACAAAGCTGCTGATAGAAAGCACCGTCGCGGATCGACAGCTCAAACGCCCTGTAGGGGTCAGCGCTTCAGGGCTTATGGCTCAATATAGGGGCCTGAATTGTTGGAATAGGGTTTTGGGTATGTTCTGCTATAAATGTAATAAGGAACCCCCAAAATAGTATAGGTAGCTATCAAGGCCCCAACATTAGGCTGAGGCTGCTCGAAGCTTGCAGCAAGCTTCGGGATGGACTTCCTCGCCCTCGAGGTTTATCTATATCTATCTGTGTATGTGTATATACAAACAAACTTCTAGGACAACTTGCATGTGATGCGTCTTCACTGGCTGTTTATGTTTATGTTGGAGATGCATTACGTGTTCGTGTATTCGTGTATCTGCGTGTCTATGCGCTTCTGCTTCCATCTGCTGTCTCTGCTTATATTTGCTCTTACATGTTCCTATGCACTTAGGCTGCTGATACATAGGTATGAGTGAGTGTATGTGTGTGTATATATATATATACATATGTGAGACATACGGTGGAGTGGATTGGATTGGAGGGGAGGGCAGAGGAGCGGAGTGGCGTGGAGTGGAGTGGCAGAGAGCGAAGCTGAGTGGAGAGTGTCGCGGTATCGTGTAGTTTAGTGTAGCGTATTGTAGTGCAGTGTGGTGCAGCGCAGTGTAGTGTAAATGTAATGAACAACAACAACAACAACAACAACAACAACAACAACAACAACAACAACAACAACAACAACAACAACAGCAGCAGCAGCAACAACAACAACAACAACAACAACAACAACAACAACAACAACAACAACAACAACAACAACAACAACAACAACAACAACAACAACAACAACAACAACAACAACAACAACAACAACAACAACAACAACAACAACAACAACAACAACAACAACAACAACAACAACAACAACAACAACAACAACAACAACAACAACAACAACAACAACAACAACAACAACAACAACAACAACAACAACAACAACAACAACAACAACAACAACAACAACAACAACAACAACAACAACAACAACAACAACAACAACAACAACAACAACAACAACAGTGTGGTGTACTGTGTTACAATCGGCGTAAGTTAGTGAAATTTTATGCAATGGTAATGTACGCAGTGCTTCTATTGTGGATGCAGTGTACTGTAATGAAACAGTGCGATGCAATATGCAGTTTAATATCTACAGTAATGTAAGTCCGACCCAATGTGTAATACGTTGTAATACCATATGTAGACGAACACCTCATGCATTACGTAATGTAGAATGGAAAAGGATAGACTGGAACGGAATGCAGTGAAATGCAGGTATGCAACGCATTGCAATGGAATGCAGCGCTGCATAGTGTCTACGTATGGATGTATGTATGTGCAAAGGATAGCTATGAGGCTTTTGTCAGAAGCTTGCCGCGTCGTGTGTTCAGGATAACCCTAAACCCTACAACTTAAACCCTAAACCTTGAATCTTTACTTCTTCCGGTTTAGGGTTCAGTTTTGGGGTGCTTAGGGCTTCGGGTTTTGAGGGTAGGGTCGCCGATAAGAACAAACTTTCAATCCCTTTGCCGAAGCCAGAAAAAGAACCCGGAAAATCGCCCCATTGATGGTTTCGCCATTTCGGTGAGACCTGGGAGAGAACCCCTCAGCCCCCAAAACCCAAAAAAAAACTCAAACATTAACCCCTAAACCCAAAACCTTAAAGCCCCAGTAATTTCAACAAGTTAGCCCTAAATAAACACTGTGCCGAGGCGCTGAACCATCCTAGATATGCCGGGATCGAGAAGCCCGGCTGAGGAGTCGGTGCGGTAGTACCTGAGGCCAAGCGGTTTAGGGTTTAGGGCTCAGTGCGCTTCGAAGTTTAGGTAAGTTTCGGGCTCGAGGTTTAGGATTTTACGGTTCAGGATTTAAGGCTTCAGGGGGCTTGGGTAACGGTTGAGGGCTTGAATTCCGTCGTGAACACGCATCCAGACTTCCAAGTCGTGATCGCATGCCCTACCCCTGAGATTACGAAGCCCGAGCTTTGCGCAAGACCGAAACTGCAACCGCAACCCTAGCCCTCAACAGAAGCGAGCCATCTGAACAGCACACCAGACTTCTATGGAAGCGAAGAAAACACTCGTGTTCATTCCACCGTCTCCTGCTCTTATGCATTTGACCTCCAGGGGACAGGATATCGGGCTGGTTCACGCGCTTTCGCACTGGCGAGATTGCCCGTAAACCCTGGGATTCTAGTTGATTCCCGGCCCCCACCGCTTGAAGATATCGGGCCTACGGTTTCGCATTAAGGTTTGAAGGGGGTCTAAGGGGCACGTGAAACTCCCGTCCAACAAAAACTTTCTCATAGGTCGCCGAAAGCCTAATATAGGGGCTTAATAAGTAGAATAGGCTTCCTTTAAAGTTTTCTATGAAGGCTACTAGAAGGGATCTATAAAGGTACAATTAATAGTATAGGGGCCTTAATCGATAGAACAGGGTTTCGGGGCCCATTATACCATCTATAGTTATCATAAGGAACCCCCAACATAGTATAGGCAATTATTGAGGCCCTATAGTACTTCCGGGAATCCACGCGCCTAAACTCAAGTGACCAGCCACCCACTACGACGCAGAGGCCGTAAATCTGAAGGCTATTAACCCAAACCCCTCATGACGGTTGATGATATAAATCCTGCATTACCCTAAGGACCCTAAAGTATGGAAATCATGGTATATTCCTTCTTATGGGTAATGCAGGATTTGTACTATCAACCGTTATCTTTCCCTCCTAACTCCGAAACCCTAAGCCCTAAACCCTAGACCCTGAACCCTAAACCCTAAACCCCGAAACCGTCCAAAGTGAGGTCGAAAAGGCAGAGCGAGACTGTGCATCTTGTACATGTCCCTGGTGTCGATGTGCGGCATGTATCCCGTCATCAGCCTCCGGGCGCGCCGCGGAGAAAGTTGGAGTGTTTTTTTAAGGTTTGTGAGGGTGCTGTTTAAGACTCCAAGAAGGCTTCAGATTCATATGCCAAAGTGTTGGGTGTTAATGTGGCCAACTTTGCTGGCTGCTCGCTAGCTTGTTGTAGTAACACGCCTCCGCAATCCGATCCCAAACGGCCGGACCAGGACGTAGGGTTGAGGGTTCAATTCAGGCCCTGAACCCCAAAAACTTTTAATCTCAAGCGGTATCCTGCATGACAGGTGCTGCAGCTTGCGTTGCCTGCCCCACGGGCTGTTGCTACAGCGAAATTAACTGCCGGAGATTCGGCCTGCCTTCACAAAACAGACTCCAGTCAAGATCGCAGCAGGCATCCTCATAGTTAAAGCTTCCAGCATTCAGTCTTTTGCATGTCGAGCTCCAGGATTTCTCTCCTTGTCCGAGCTCGGAGAAGATCCTCAGAAGTGGTGTTTACGCTGCGAGACACCCTTGTCTGACCTTGCGATGCCCCCCTAAATTCCCCAATCCCCAGAACCCCGAACCCTATATAAACCCCTAAACCCTGAACCCTAAACCCCCAAACCCCCAAACCCCTAAACCCCTAAACCCCCTAAACCCCCCTAAACCCCCTAAACCCCCCTAAACCCCCCTAAACCCAAAGCCCCTGAATCCAAAAAGGCCTTCTCGGGCCGAGGCGACGGGCGCTGGGCTCACGTTGATTGTAGGCCTGCCGCGGTGTCGGGCTCGGCGGTCTCGGGTGCAGGGGCCTCCACCCTGCATTTAAGGGTTTGCATACAGAACTTAGACCCCCAGCGATTTTTTGCTTTTGCTGTTTCTTAAGGTTTTGGAAGCCAACAGTGTAAACATCTTTCTAGGTAGCCCTGAGGTTTAGGGTCTCCAGCATACAGCGTCAAAACTGGATCATGACCTCTAATCCCCGAAGCCCATCTGCTGTTGTTGTTGCTGCTGTTGCTGGCGGCGGCAGTGCTCCTCTCATGCTGCTTGAGACTTTGCGGCGTACGGCCTGGCGGTTGGCATCTCGGGTTTGGGCTCAAGTTTCTGCACGCGGGTCCCAGACTCCTGAAGGCTATACTGTATGGAGGAGAACGTGTCTTCATCAACGGAACGATGTCAGAAGCTGACGAACATCCCGCACTCGCACACCAAATCGACTTCGTGGAGATCGCGGCTTTGTGCCTGGGTGAGATACAAGCCTGAATGATTCATAATGTGATCGCTTCGGGCTCCTTACTATACTTTCTTGCATTTATCTACACATATATGCATAGATATATATATATATATACATACACACACACATGCAGACTCCCAAAAACTCACTACTAAGGCGGCCGGGTTCAGACTTAGGATTGACATTCGTAGTTCCTCGAATAGCTGCCGGCTGTCGTACATAACAAGCCTCAAAACTGTCTGGTTTTTAGTAGGGAATGGGGGAATGGATTATGGAGACTGCTATTGGGGATTATATAGGGACTACTACAGGGGATCCATTCCCCCACTTCCTACTAAGAACCAGACAGTATACGCCTGGCAGCAGGAATCAGCCAAGAATGAGCCCGTAAACGCAAAGAACTTGCAAGACCGAAGCCCTGATCCCCTATTCATAGCCTAAATCCCACGGGGCCGCGGGCCGGGCCTGCAGATATGCAGCCCGGATAGCATTGGAGCGGCTGTCTGCCTGGAGCTTCGAATCTTCTAAAGGGATAAGGCGGATATGGGTTTCGGGGGGCCTGGGTCTTTTGCACGTGCTAGACCATCCAGCCTAACAAAACTCTCCAGTCTTCCGCGAAGTCGGGGAAACATCTGGGTAGTTGTCAAAATTATGGCCCTTTTTGGGGTATCCTAAGTATTAGGTGCCGTATTATAATAAGGACCCAAGAAAGGACCCTAACTTTGACAACCACCCATGTGACGGTTCGACAGCTTCACTTCGTCGATGGGTCTGGGTGTTCAGCCGACTTCGCACTTGAACTTCCCGCGCTCCAAACAGGATCCCAGACTAACAAGGACACCGGACTCGGTTCAATGACCAGTGCTTCTGCACCTGCGGATATGGAGTTTCGAGGCCCAGATACAAGCTCTACATGGCATAATTGCAGGGGCCCCTAGTTGGAAGAAACACCAAGGCAGGCCTTCGCTAGAGAAACAACCGTGACAATCCCGAGTGGCAAGAGTCACAGAGAGCGACCTGAGAAATCTCAGGAGTTCCTGCGGCGGAGATAAGCCAGAAAGCCCGAACCAAGGTCCTCAACAGTTCGGGGTATAGCAACGATAGGAAACCACACATCATGCATCCGCAGGGTGATAGGAGGAAAGCTGCAAGAATACTGGTCAGCCGCTGGGCACGGTCACCCACTCGAGAGCATGCAACTTCGGTAGGAAAAGGCTGGCTCTAGGGTCTAGGAGTCTGGGGGTGAGGATACCCTAAACCCTAAATCCTCGACCTTAAGCCCTGAAGCCCTAAGTCGTGCTGAGGGTTTGAAGGTTAAGGATTAAGGATTTAGGGTTCTCACGTGGGGTTGAACTCCAAACCCGCTCCCCAAATCCCTGATCTGATCCTGAAAGCTAAATCAACTCAAACTTTCTGGTCCAAACTCTAAACCAAAGCCACCGCGCCTCCAGGAACACAGAGGTGTCTGTGACGATGTTGATGCCCGCCAGCTCCCGCCAGAAGACCCCAAAGGTTGTAAACATGCCCAGAAAGACCAGCAAACCTCGGCTCTTCTGGGCTTCATGGGTTTAGGGTTTAGGGTTTAAGGTCTAGGGTTTAGGGTTTAGGGTTTAGGGTATAGGGTTTAGGCTTTAGGCCTTAGGGTTTATGGGTTAGGGTTTAGGGTTTAGGCTTCAGGGTTTAGGGTTTAGGGTTCTGGGTCTGGGGCCTCCTAAACCCTAAACCCTCATTCCTCATCCCCTAAAACCCAGGCTTAAGGGCTTGACGGTGGCTTCAGGGTTTAGGCCCTGCCCCTAAACCCCAGATGGCGAAAGCCATAAAGTAGAACCCCCAAACACCGACCCTTCTCGAGACAAGGGAATGTAATCGTCGAATATAGAGGGCTTGTTTTTTTCATGTGGGGACAAGGTTTGTAGTATAGCGTGTATGGTTTTACGCGTGAAGACTCTTAAGACTTTATGGCTTCGGGGTTTAGGATTCTATGAGTTTGGGTTTAGAACTCACAGGGTTTACACCACAAAAGCGTGCCAAGCGACAGAAGGTAATCGGACAGTGCGCCGTGCAGCAAGGGAAGCTTGTACAGCACGGGCTCAGGCAGACGGGTTTCCTTGGTCAGTGAATTTAGAGTTTACGGTTCAAGGTATCATAAAGCTTAAGCGCTATTCATAGGGTTTAAGGGATATTCTGTGGCTGTGTCATGGAGAGGTTCAGGATGTGGGCTTTAGGGATTTGGGATGGAAGCTCCAGGATCAATAAAAAAAATGGCTTCTTAATGTTGATGGTTCCCGGTTGGGCGGGTATTTTTCTAGGACCGAACAGCTTGATCCGGAGTTGCTTAACCTACAAAACCCCAAACCCTGAACCGCAAACCCTAAACGAACAGAGACCCCTAACTTAAGCAGACCTCCAGTGAGGAGGACAGCCGGGCCGCTTGCCAGCGGCTCGCTCCGCCTGGCTTTCTTTCACGAAGGTCTGGCTCTGCACCTGAGTCGGCTAGGGTTTCTACAAACTGTTTAGGGTTCAGGTCCGGAGTTTTGTGCGGGTTTTGACGGGGTTTTGTGTGTGTTGCTTTGCTTAAACAATGTGTATTTATCCTGGGCTTGAGGTTTTCGGGTTTAGGCTTTAGGGTTTAAGCGTGTCTTTTTCAGCGCCTTTTTCCGCCCGCCCCTTCGATCCGTTCAGGGCCCTCGGTGGTTTCGGGTGGTTTCAGGCTTTGCAGCTGGATTTCGGTGGTTTAGTGTGTCTTTCGCCAACCCCTAAGCTCAGAATCCCAGAGGGCGATCGGATTCAAGCCGTGGGCCCTGGGATATTGGGGCTTCCAAGGGATGGAGGCTTGGGGAGGCTTAGGGCGCAGGAGCATTCAAGACCTACGCCCCCAAGATTGAGAGCTTCACCTTGTTGGGTGTTCTGTAGGGGCCGTAATATTTAGAGTAAGGTTTTGGGGGTTCCTTGTTATAAGTAGAGGATACTATCCCCCAAAGCCCTATTCTAACTATTAAGGCCCCTACAGTAAGGGCTTGCGGGAAGGACCTGCCAAAGTGCCGCCCACGATTCAACCCACCTTCCCCTTCTTGAAGCTCCCAGTGCCAGAACACTCAGGCCCAAAAGATGTTCAGCTTAGGGTATAGGGTTGGGGTCCAGGGTCCAGGGTTTAGGGTTTAGGGGTTAGGTCTTAAGGTTTAGGGTTTAGGGTTTCTGGTTTACGGTTTAGGGTTAGGGTCCAGGGCCTACAGCCTACATGGTTCAGCCCAGGCCGTGACATTCGGGACGCACGGCTCATAACATAACGATTCCAATGGCAAATGTTGGCAATATCGCCGGCAAGGGCCCGAATCACTGCAATGGAAGCAGGACCCTTAAAGCAGTCATAACTGCAAACAGCCCTCTTGCGACCCTTACTTCTTATAGAACCCGTATAGCACACCAACATAGTTCAGAGCACCGGCTTCGCGAGAATCTCCGTCGCTGTGCCCGGCCACTGGGGAGGAAAGCTGCGCATTCCGTCCTGGAGGATAGCAAAGCGGCTTTACATAGGGTTCTGCCAGCATATCATACTGTAGCAATAAAAGGAACTACAAGGGAAATTACACTACTAAATATTCCGACCCCTATATTCTGGCATTCAGCAAATGCTGCTTAGATGGTAAAAGGATGCACAAGAGAGGACGTCTGAGGCTCAGATCAAGCGATGCTTCTACAAGAGTGCTCCTACTTCACATACCAAACCATGAGTCTAGAGGGATGATGCAAGAATCACGGATTTGCCCTGAACCCTGAACTCGAACCCTAAACCTGAAAACCCTAAACTGCATGCCTTCAACCTTGCATGGTTGAGGGTCCCCTGCGTTTCCCTGGAACCTACGGCCCACTTTAGGATTCAGGGGCAGGTTTCAAGGTTTAGGGTTCAGGGTTCAAGCATTCAGGACACCGTCTAGGTGAAGGTCGGGGTGCTGGGTGGCGGGTTTATCAGTTTGGCGAGTGCGGCTAACACCCCTCTTCTTGAAACACTATGAAGCCTCAAATTGAACCTCTGAAGCCGCGACTAACAGTCAGACTTAGCATAGGGTTGGAGGGATATTTTGCTATGAATACTATGATACACTAAAAAACTATAAGATTCAAAATAATGCTATCATATACATCATCTCAGATCATACACCGTGATATACTTGCATACACTCTCATCCACTCTCATATGCTACCATATACCATAATATACTCCAATATACTATAGTTACTGTAATTGCTACAGCCATGTTAAATGAAGCCCTCGGACCCTGACTCTGAGACGCCCTGAAGCTCTTCTCGAAAGCTAGCTCTTCAGGGTTTCAAGACTCTTGGAAGTTTAGGAACCCTAATATTATCCTTACCGTAAACCCTAAACCCCTACAGTATGTTATTAGAGTATGGTATACCCTTTTAAAAGTTTAGGATCCCTAACAATCCTTACCCTAAAGCCTAAACCCCTATGTTGTTAGAGTGTGATATACCCTCAAGTTTAGGATTTGGAGGTTTAGGATCCCTAACACTCCTACCCTAAACCCTAAACCCCTATGTTATTAGACTTAGAGTATGATATACCCTCAAGGCCCTAAACCCTAAACCCCTACAGTATGTTATTAGAGTATGATATACCCTCAAGACCTTTTCGAGGCATGGTCTCCTGATTCGCCGGACTCGCCCCGGAGGCAGGGGAGGCAGGGGAGGCCGCTTCTTCCTGCGGAGTCTCCTTCGGATGTTGAGGGATCAGATTGGGTCAGGTTTAGGGTTTAAGGTTTAGAGTTTAGGGTTTAGGGTTTAGGGGTAAGGGAGTGGATTAGGACACGAATTAAGGCTAACTTCGGAGATTGGGTCAGAAAGGGTTTGGGGTTTGGATTTGGGTTTAGTTTAAGACAGAGGAAGCAGGGCTCCTCATTTCCGGGGTTTAGGGCTTGACGGTTTAGGGCTGGCAAGCAAGGTCTGTACGGCTAAACTACATGAAAATTCTTCGGGATCCAGAAACCCTACACATTTCAATACAATATAAAATGCTGGCAACGTCGCTGAATCCGAAGCCCTGAACAATCCTACACCTCTAAGCCCCAACTGCTAAACCCGGGCTCCTGAACCCTGAAAACTTGAATCCTGGAGCCTTAAGACTTAAGTCTGAATGGAACACCCTACACCCTACTACAACTATTTCAAGATGACGGACAGGCTCCTCACTGAACCCGATGCCTCACGGTTTGGGGCTGAAGCCTAATTCGTGTTTAGAGTTTAGGATTTACGCCGCAAGGCTAGTACAGTTTAAGGCCTCGGGTTTGGGGTTCAATTCTAAGCCTTAAACCTGTGTTGTGCCCTACGCTTGATGCTGCATTACCTTAAGGACCCTAAACTATGGGAATCAGGGCATACGGGCAATGCAGGATTTATATCATCAACCGTACGTCTCTCCTTTCTGGCCGAATGCGACGTCTTCGGCTCTAGGAGGGCGGGTTCCCCCGGACGTTCTGCTGCGAGGCCTCACAGCCTCCCCGTAGAAGAAGACAATGCCCAAAGCCATCACTGCTTGGAGGTTCATGGGTGGCTATAAAAAGGGCTATAACTAGGGCATTTATACTTATAAGGCTAATTAAGGGACTTATGACCCCACTTATAACTACCCCTGAACCTCCCTCAATACTGAACCATGAACCCTAAATCTGCATCTCGAACCCTGGAACCTAAAGGACCTAAATCCGAAGCCCTACGTCCCAAAACCCAAAGCTAAATCCTACACCTCCGAGGCCCCAACTCCGAAACTCCACCCCGGTGTCCTTCGGTGCAGTGCCGGCAGCTGCAGCGTCGCCCTCGTCTTCGCCAGCACTTTGGCTTTCGCCGCTGCTCCCGGTCCCGGCCACCCCCGCAGGCTCCTCGGCGGCCTCTGGAGCAAGGCAGGGGTTTTGTTAGGGTTTCGGGCTTAGGGTTTAAACCCCCAGACCCTAAACTAAACACCCAAACCTCCAAACCCAAACTAAACCCTGATCTGCAGCATGGATTTAAGATGGTTTGTGCTAGTAGTCCCTAAACCCTCCCTTAAAGGGACCCTTTAAGGTGTTCCTTAAAGCTTTCGCGGGTTTCGTGGGTTGGGGTAACCCTTAACCCCGAAACCTAATCGAACCCTATGCTCGAAAATCCCCAAAGCCCTGAGCGCATAAACCCTAAAACTAAACCGCGAAACCTAAAGGCGCTAAAGCCCTAAACCCTAACCCCTAAACCCCTAAACCCCCAAACCCCTAAACCCCCAAAGACCCAGAACCCCTAAACCCCTAAACCCCCAAACCCCTAAACCCCCAAAGACCCAGAACCCCTAAACCCCTAAACCCCCAAACCCCTAAACCCCCAAGACCCTAAACCCTCGAATCGTCCACCCGGCCTCGGACCAGATCTGGATCACCGCCTCCTCGGCTCCTTCCCTGGGCGTGTCCAGCGCCTCGGGCGCCTCAGCGGCTGCTGGGCTGAGGGGTCTTTTTGGTGGAATGTCAGAACTCGGTTGAGGGGTTTAGGGGTTTAGGGTTCAGGCTTTTTTTTTTTTTTTCAACACCTTTTTCCATACTGCAGTACAGCATAGAGAGCCCGTTTGGGCAGGCTTGGTTCCGCTACCTTTCGCCCGACTCACTTCCCGACCATCACGACACCACTCACAACCGACCACACTCGTCCATTCCATGCTCCATCTCATTCTCCAGAGCCTTTGTGCCTTCCCCGACCCCAGCAATCTCGTCCGTACCATCTTCAGCACCCATCTGCATGTCACCCAGCTGCAACGTCTCAGCACTCTCCCCAGGCGTACACGAAAGCACAGCATCAAGCATGGTATCTGCCCTCTGCGAGGCGTTGAGCCCCAGCATCTCCAGCAAGGATCCCGAAGGCACCGACGATGAGCCACGAACCTCACCACCATGCCCAGTTTGCCCATCCGACACAGGCCCAACACCTCCAGGTGCTGCTGCAAGAGTACCTTCGCGCTCCCCCTCTTCCAAGGCGCCCTCTTTCACCACAAGCTGGGTTTCCAACATGTCGAGTGTTGCACTTCCAAACTGTTGCCTCACCGAATCACTTGTGATCTCACCCTGGGACCATTTCTCGAACAGGTCCATGAACTCCCCAAACTCCATCGGGATCACAGCATCACCCTCCTCCTTGTGGGGCGAAGCCTTGACCGTAGTTGCGTCCTCCTCGTCCTCGTCGCCTGACTCCACCTTGGTCTGCATTGTGATCATCACCTGCGATCCATCAGAAGTCCATGGCACCCGAATCGTCTGTGCCGTCCCCGGTTGACCTGGTCTTGGCCCGACCGTCACCTCCAGCTGCAATCGTCTTCTCTTAGCTCTCGCCCTCGGACCGTTCATCTCGTCATGCATCGCCCAGTCCTCCCACGCCTGATAATTGCGGCTCTCTTCGATCCTCATGTGCTCTTCAACCGCTTTCTCAACCCCTTTGTAGAACTGGTCCTCCTCCTCCTCGTACCTCGCCTGGGCTTCCTCAAGACTTCGGGCATCCCGGCGCTCGTGGAACTGCTCATGCTCTCCCAAGGCCACAAGGGTCGGGCAAATCGTAGATTGCGAGCGAGCCGTACTTGACTGCGAGTCCCCCACCACCGGCACGGGTGGGATTGGGTCTCCAGAGCCACTTGCTCTGCGACCCCTCAACTTGAGCTTAGGCACCAGTTTCAGGAACCAAGCCCACGTCCAGGCGTTCAGCTGCTCCTCAGATGCCAGGAAGCCATCGTGGGTATGCCCTTTCCCAGCCTCAGCAGTGACCACGCAGAGGGCGTCCAGTTGGTCAGCCAGCTCACGCTCCTCCACCTTGGCGACCGCCCGCAGCTCCCGTAGCTGCTTGCGCATATTGAGAGCCCGCAGCCTGGCAAGGCCCGGCGAAGGACCTTCCAGTTCCTTCTGTAAGGATTGCATGATCCCATACGTCACCGTGTATCCTCCGTGGACAAGCATCACCGCTCCAAGCTGCATCAGCCCCGTGTCTTCTTCATCCCCATCGTGCCCTTCTCGCCCTCGCTCTCCAGCCGGCTCTTCGTCCAAGTTAACCTCCACCAAAGAGGCCTGGTGCATGATTTGTCCCAGCTCAGTGAGGAGAGCCCTGACCGTGGTCACCAGGGCGATGGTCATGAGCATCTGTTGCTGGGTGGTGTACTCCCTGAGCACTTCCACCATCCAATCGGCCCTATTGTCAGGGATGAGGGGCCCCCCTGCACCAATGACTTCGCGCCCTCGCGGGAGGTCTGAGGTGCCAATGCCCAACAGATACCTCCATATATCCACACCAGCATCCGAGTCGTGAGGCCCCGTCGGGAAGAACAGCATGGTGGCATTGAAATCATCAAACCTGGGCTCCCCAGCATGAACTCCTCCATCTCCTGATCCACTGGCAGATGCTGCATTGCTGTCAGCAGCACTTCCACTCGCACCTCCACTGCCACTCCCACCTCCACTGCCATCTCCACGAGAACCTGAGCTCGGAGCAGGTCGAGGCCTGCCAGCAGTCCTCCAAGGGGCAGAAGAGAGGCTTGGGTGCTCACGACAAGTAGCCCCTCTCGAGCCACCGCCCCGATCCGGCTCATCCCTTCCACGCTCTCGCCCCCTTGGACGGTCCCGGTCCGCTGCATGCCTGGTCATAGATCTGGATCTGCCACGTCCTCGATGCCGTTCTCCGCCCCTTCGCCCCCGCTCTCGTTCCATGAAACCCGTGGCATCCCCATCTTGTTCCCCTTCATCATCGGTCTCTCGGTTGAAGATGGCGTAGAGGGTTTCCTCAGCCTCAATCGCCCACTGCATGAAGTCTGCTGGCGACGTGTCCTCCGTTTCACCAGCACTGTTGGGGATCCCAGCTCCCAGGGTGTTACAGGGCCGAATCACCCATCTTCTATAGGCAGCATCGGCTCTAGACTGTGCCAGTCTCCGGAGCATCATGATTGCGATGCCGGTCGCCCTCTCCTCTTCCCACCATACCCAGAACTGCTCAATGAGGTCCTCCCACCGCCGGGTGGGCCTGGGGTCCATACCAGTCTGGAACAAAGCTCCCTCGTCCGGCTCACCCTCCTCCCCAGCCTCGTCCACACCATCAGCAGGTAGCCCTTGGTTTCGAGCAAGCAGGTCCTCTCTCGCCATTCTCCTCAAGTCCTCAGCAGTGGAGTAGGTTCCATCCCTCCACACATGGGCCGGATGAAAGATGCCAAAGGGGCGCTCTGGGTCAGGCGGGTTCGCAGGCAGCTCCAGCCGTGGTCGCCTTAGGATGCATTCCCGAGCACACCTTTCCAGCTCCTGGGTAACCCTGTGCACCCAGCTCTCCATGTCCACTGGGTACCTCCTCGCCCTCATTGGCAGAGGGCTATCATCTGCCAAGGTTTCCCCAAGCACCTCCCCCGCCAAATCCGTAGGCGTGGCGTGACATCGCCTTTGCAGCGCCATCATCAGCGACCTTCGAGCCATTCTCCCCTGCCCTTGGTCAACCAGCTGCCTGAAGTCTGCAGTCACATCGTCCACCCATTCTTCACAAGGTCGGTCCGCTCGCTTTCTCGTGCCCCGGGCCGGTGCAGCCCCCGAGGAGCTCTGCATAAAGATCACACCGTCAAAGGGGGTCCCGAAGGCGATCCTGTCGGTCGTGCCCACGGGGATGTCCCGGGGGTACCGCATTCGCCGAGCATCGTCATAAAGCGGAGAATCGTCACCATCTCGCCCCGCATCATCCCAAGCAATCCCACTGCCCTGCTCAGCAACTCGATTCCTCCCTTCAGGGGCTTCGTCCATGCGGTAATCCGGGATGGGCACTGGGTACAGCTTTCGATCAGCTCCGGCAGGCAGTCCAGGTCCAAGTCGGTCAAGGTCGGGAAAATCAGGTGGCAGATCTCGAGGAGGCGCAGGTTTGAAGCATTGCACCACTACGAGTCCTACCAAAGGAAACAGCCACATCACGTGGCACATGAAAGTTCGTGAATACAGAAAGGGGGTCCGGAGGCCCACAAACTCACAGCTACGAAGCAAAGCTGAGCCGCGACTGCCATCAGGCTTCCCTTCATTCGCAGTCAACGACCGACACTGAAACATAAGAAGCTACCCTCTCACTATCTCCAGTCCTGTAGTCTTGTCTGTCTACCACTTGCCCACGGCAGGTCCATACTGTCCACCCATGCTTGTTCGAGCCCTCGCCACGCCACCCTGTTGTGTGCAACCATTCTCCACTCCCCTCTCGCTGCTGTGTTCATGGCCCTCTCCATATTTGCAAGCCTCGGATAATGCCGTGGGTGAGTTCGCCCATTGTTGGCTTTTTGAGCCTCCCACCATTCGAGGGTTCGAAAGGCATCCACGTGTGCACTGACTGGTGGAAATTCCCGGAGTAAGCATCGCGATCGGTGGCCAGCATACCGCCACCATCTCCTTAGCCAGCTTGTCCCCCACCTTTCAACTCCACTAACATGCAGCGCATACCGTGCCGACCTGAAGGCCCGAACCCGGAATTCACCCATACTTTCGCCCACACGTCTCGACAGTCGCATGGCCCATATGGTGAGCTGCATCTGCATGGTATTCAGCATTCCCATGGCAGGCTTTTCGGGTGGGAAAGAGGAAAGGCACCACAGAGCCGCGTTCCCAACCGCCGTCGCCAGTGTTTGCAGCCTGCCCTTAAGACTCGTTTTTGAGCGAAACACATGGTGCATACTCCAGAACTTCGATCGAGCCCGAGCCACCAGCGGCGCCACCAGTTCCGACATCGTCATACCAACTCTCATCGGCAGTCCCATGACCTCCACCTCCGGGGAAGCCTCAACCCTAGACCCTGCAATCCAGATAGCCTTTTCCCCTTTCCAGTGGGGAGAGCACAAGAGCTGGCACTTAGACCCATTGAGCTTGAGTCCAAATTCCTCGAGCACCACCATAAGCTGCCTCACTTTTTGCTGTACCCCTTGGACCCCGGAGGACCACATGAAGCCATCATCCATGAACAAGACATCGTGGAAGGGCAATCCCTCAAAGGCCGATGGCAGTTTATCCCATCCGAAGCGGGCACCCGCCTCCTGGAAGCATACTTCAGCGATCATCGAGAAGAACCCCGGAGACTCGACTGCCCCCTGCTTTATCCCTTGTGTCATCTCCACCATAGACGAACCCCACGGAGACTGCAGGAGGGCATGGCCGTCCTGGAGAAGGGCCCTCCAACATCGTAATTCTGCACAATCACCCATACGGGAACCCAAAGTCCGCAGCAGCTGTTCTCGATCAACTGTATCAAACGCTTTGGAAACGTCCAGTTTAAGGAGGCACAGCCCAACATGCCATTCTCTTTCAAGTTCCAGCAGACGCCAAACCGTAAAAAGGTAATCTGCAGACTGTCGCCCCACTCCTGAACACTGGGAATGTGTTCTCGCCGTCACGAATTTCTGGGTTCTGTTCAGCAGGAGCCTCGAGAAGAGTTTCCCTACTGCACTGTTCATCGAGATCGGCCGAAGATGCTTAGCTTCCAAGGGTTCGAGGATCTTGGGCAGCAAAACCATGAGTGGTGTATTCCAGTCTTTCGGAATCTGTTGCGTGGCCAAAGTTCTGTTCATAAATTCTAGAAGGTGGGTGCATCCGCCATCCACTTCCACCAAGGCTTGCAACAATTCCGTCGACGTACCGTCAACCCCAACCGATTTGCATCGCTTCATCTGAGAAAGAGCCACCCGCAGTTCTTCTTCGCTGAAAGCGGTCACTTCCCCTTCGTAGACCCCTTTGTTCGGCTTCACACCCCTGCCCTGGTAGACCGACTGAAGGTGATCGTGGATAACCGTGTGGGGGTCAAGGACCTGTGCATTCGCGAAAGAGTGCTGCCATCCTGATTGAATCTTCGGCTTGACATCCCTGAAGGCCCCCCAATCACCCTGGCTGGCCCGTTCAACCCTCTGGGTCTCCCACACTTTGCGTGCATTTTTTCGAAGAGAACGAACTGCACACCACGATGCCTTAGTCCTCAACAGTCTCGCCCTAGCAACAGCTTCCTTGACTTCCCGAGGGTCCTTGTATCCCCTGCCTTTTGCCGGCACGGTACACCTCCTGGCTAAATGAACCAGCGTGGGCTGATCCAGGTGCTCGATGAGAGTAACACCACCCCTCCACACCCTTGGAGCTGTCGGAGCCCGCCTTGTAGCTTCACCCTTAGACAGCTCAAGTTCCCCTTGAAGAAGCTCGTGATCTGTTCCCAGCACATGACATGAATCGACATGCACAGTCTCCCTCGCTCGTCTCACTCCTCTGGTAGCCATGTAGTCAATGATGCTCCCTCGGCGACCCTCTTGCCTAGGACGGCTGGTGGGCGTCTGAAACTGAGAAGGCCCGGGCGGGATCATAGAGAGCCCTCTCGATTCCACCTGCCCCAAGGCCTCATTCGCTTTGCCATCCCTTCCCACTGCCAGGACTGCACCATCGAACTGATTCCAGGAGATGGGAGCATTCGCATCAAACTGGCACACCACAGGAACCGACCCTTTGGGCATGCCCTCGAAGAAGTTCGTGACCTCACCTTCATACTGGGCCTGCGTGCACCCTGGAGTAAAGTGAGCAGTAGCACACCACAAGGAGGTCCCATGCTTGAGGTGCTTGAGTAAGATCCAACACCCTCTAGCCCGAGCAACTCTCCGTACCACACTCCACGAGTCTGTCCGGTAGGCGAGGCCTGTACCACGCCATGCCGTCTCAGAGCGATGCGAGACAACTTCCAACAACCCTTGCTTTTCCGAGCACCAGCCCGAGGCTCCACGAGGGAGCTCCTGCAGGATCACGACAGCATCAGGATCCATAGGCCTCTTGATGCCTTCACACACAGCCTTGGCGAGATCCGAGATATCCGCCCCTCCAACATTCCATCCATAGACCTGAACCGTGCAAGCTGAACTCGACTCCAGATCCCTTGCCTGACAAGATCCTGTACAAGAGGAAAAGGAAAAAGAAGGAGCAGAGGCCCCACCAGGCTCGTCACGAGCCTCGTGGGATCGACTTTGTCGGGTTGCTCCTGTTGGTCCCTGCACCTTCACTCGTGGAAGACCACATGAACCCTGGTTACTTGAACTAAACTCGTGCAACTCAAGGCCAGCAAACCGCCGAATTTCTGGAAGCTCTCCCTCACACATCGGTCCCCCATGATCAGGTCAGCGCTTACATGCTTGCACGGCGTCCCTGATCTGCTTGGCAGTCTTATTGACCAGCTTCGCAACCTGGGACACATCAATCCAATGCTTGTGGTCTGAGTCCTCGTCCACTAGAATGTGTTTAGCTGCCACTCCAGGAGGATGGGGAAGCAACGCACTCGCCATCATCGCCTGCGGCCCCCACACCGAACCCGTGCGGTATTCAAAGTCAAGCTGGTTCGCAGCAATCTCGCCATCGAAGTGTGCCACAACCCTTTTCACCAGAGAGGCATGAGCTGCAATGGCCCGTTCCTTCGGAGATTTGCTGAAGTTGCACCACAGCTTCGTCCCACTCTTAGAGGAGACTTCATGCCCTTGGAAGGCCGACACGAACTTGAACATCCTTGCCCTGCGCCCCTGCTCAGTCTCCATAGCCCTCAGCGGCACCGAGAGCAAAGCAATGGACCGCCTCGGCCCCGTGCAGAACGGACTCTCGTCACACTCCGTCGCCAGCCCGAGTTTGGGCAGTGCTTCCTTCAAGTCTGCGAGGATGTCGACCCGGCGGCTATCCTTCGGCCAGCCCCCAAAGACCAAAGTGGAGCGCCTTCGCTCTACGTCATCGCCGAGATTGCGAGGGCCCTGCCCACTCTTGACCATTTGCGTGAGATCCTTGAGCGCTGCTTCCAGCTGCTCCACCTTGGTTTCGAGCACCGCGGACCTCTCCTGAGCTTCCACCACCTGTTTTTCGACACCCGCCACACGAAGCTCCACCTTGGCCTCCATCTCAATCATCGCCTGGTCCAGCTGCTTCTGTTGGGCTCCAAGAAGCTCTCGACTCTGCTCAGAAAGCAGCTCCCGGACTTTCTGAACATCGAGGGTAACCACACTCGGCCGTTCCTTCTTGGGCGAAGGGAGCCCAGGTGCTGGGTCCGGCCCTCCCGAGCGCTTGCGTGGCTCAGCCATATCGTCGTCATCATCCTCCTCCACCGGCACAGGGATGTCAGATGCACCCCCTCCACCAAGCTGAACAGCAGGCTTGCCCCCCCCGGGCACCATCACAGCCGCCTCGCACTTGTCCCGAATCGCACCGCTCGAGCCCTCAATCACCTCCAGAAAGAAGATCAACTCCTAGAGCTCCCGGCGCACCTTCTGCACCCGCCAGCTCCGGCACAAAGCACACTTGCACTGCGAGGAGAGCGAAGACGATCGGCCGACACTTCAAGCAGAGGCAAAGGGAGCGGGGGCCCTTGGAGCTTGGGCCTTGAGGCTTGAGCCTCTAGGGTTCAGGCTTTAGGGTTCAGGGTTGAGGATTTAGGGTTGAGGGTTTAGGTTTCAGGGTTTAGGGTTGCGGCCCACAAGCAAGTCTTGGATTCGGTTCAGGGTTGAAGGTTCAGGGTTGAGGGCTTATGGTTTATGGTTTCGGGTTCAGGGTTGAATGTTCAGGGTTGAGGGTTCATGGGTTATGGTCTCGCGCTCAGGGTTGAAGGCTCAGGGTTTAGGGTTCGTGGCGTATGGTTTCGGGTTCAGGATTCAGGGTCACAAGGCCATAAAGGCTCCTTGCAACAGGTGTCTGGAGGCTCGCATGGGAGTCCCAGGAACCCGGCTGCCCCAATAAGGAACTTGACAAAAACGGAGTTCCAGAAAGATCCGAATAGAGAACCCCAATCTGTGGGGAAAAAAGGCTTGGGTTTGAGGTTCTGGATGTTTGTCTGGGCTTTGGGAAGCAAACCTTTGGTCTGCACTTCGAGAAACCAAATGTGGATGCTGGTCTAAGTCAGTCAAGCCCGTATATGCACTCACATATACATAACGTACATGTCAATGTGCATGTGCATGTGCTGCATTTACGGCATGCATGTAGTATATCGCAATGTAATGTCTTGTAATGTAATGTAATGTAAAAGTAATGTAAAAGTAATGTAAGGTATGCATGCATGGATGTATGTATGTATTTACGTATGTGAAACTGGTGACTGGCTGAATTTTGTGCCTTCGCTCGCAAGAAAAGATGTTCTTTCAGAACGACCTAAACAATCAACCCTAAACCGAAACCCTAAATCCTAAACCGGAACCCTAAGCCCGAAACCCTAAACCCTAGCCCCTAAACCAACACCCTAAACCCCAAACCCTAGACCCTAAACCCCAAACCGAAACCCTAAAGCCTTGACATTTGCAAAGCAAAGGCACCGGACTTCTCTGCGAACTGCCGGAGACCTCCGCGCTGGACGGGGAGGTCCCCGGGCTGATCGGTATCGGCACCGGCAACTCCGAGGTTTCATCGGGAAACCTTGGGAGCAGGCATTCTGTCGGGTTTAGGGGTTTAGGGTTCTTAGTAGGGAATGGGGAATGGGTGATTGGGGCTACTATTGGGGATTATAAGGGAATTGCTATAATATAGGGATCCATTCCCCCATTCCCTACTGAGCACCAGACAGCATTTAGGGCTGCCGGGATTCGAAGCTGAGGGTTTTGGAGTCAGGCTTGGGTTGGGGGCCAAGGGTTTAGAGTTGCAAGCTCCTGGTGTTTTTTTTGTAACTGCAATGGCCCGTTCTCCGGCTTAAGGTTTGGAGTTTAGGGTTTAGGATCGTGAGCGTTTTGAATAAAGCACGGGTTGCCAAAACCTTCAATTCTAAACACAAACCGTTCCGCTCTGCCTCCCCGAATCCATTTTGTGAAGCCCCACAACCCCCAAACTCCGAGCCATAGCCCAGACATGACACGGAGTAAACCCTTAACCCTGAAACCCGAAACCCTAAACCCTAAACCCTGAAACCCTAAAACCCTAGACCCTAAACCCTGAAACCCTAAACCCTATAACCCTAAACCCTATAACCCTATAACCCTGAAACCCTAAACCCTATAACCCTAAACCCTATAACCCTAAACCCTATAACCCTAAACCCTAAACCCTAAAACCCTGAAACCCTAAATCCTGTAGTAGGTCCCTGCAGTCCTAAAGGCCCTGAACGGTTCGTCCCAGCGGCGGACACAAGTCTGCCAGGGGGAGGGGCGGAACTTGCGCCGCCCTCTCGTTGGGTATGGAGGCGACGGCCTCGACCGTCTCTGAAAGTTCGGAAGGCTCCTGGCTTTTTTGAAGGGCTTCTGGGGCTTTGGGCTTGAGTGCTCTTGGGGTTTAGGGTTTAGGGCTCTTAGGGTTTAGGGGCGTTTGGGAGTTGAGGGATATTGGCTTTCAGGATATGGGGGAGCGTGGAGCCGAGATTTGTGACGAACCGCGCAGGGACGAGCGATGGGGACTCAGGCGACTTCGGATTGAAATCTGGGATCTGTCATTCTAAGGCGATCTTCGTAGCTTAGAGGACAACTAGGATACCCAGTAACCTAAGAATAAAAAGGCCTCTCTTTTTGGTATTGGGTAACTTTATAAGGAACCTAGGACTACAAAAAGGGAATAAGGGTACTACTGGGCATCCTAGACAACTGTAAGCTGTGTCGTGAAGTCTGAGCCCAGGGCTCCTACAATTCTTGGGAAAGCTGTGGCACGACTTTCCACACTTTTCGGGCGCTCCGTGGCGAAGCTGCGGGGTCTGTGTAGGGTTCAGGGTTTTGGGGTTTAGGGTTTACTTAGAGGTTCATGGGTAGTTATAACTGGGGTTATAACTAGGGTAACTATACTTATTACTCAGATTACGGGACGTATAGCCCCACTTGTAACTACCCCTGAACCTCCAAGTAGGGGTGACCAAAGCCCCCAGCGAAGACCTCTGCCAGAATCCCAAACCTGGAGACGCCATCCCCGCACAATCCGCCCCCATCTCTCCTCATGTAGGAACCTGCTTAAGAAACCCCTGGGACTTTATTCGGGTTCCTGTAAAGGGTTTTATAAGGGTTACTATAAAGGATCAAGGGCATTATAACAATGTTGGAACCTGATTAAGAAAGCCTGGGGCTTTATTTGGGTGATTTTATATGAATCCTACTATCTTGGGGGTTATAAACCCAGGGTTTCTTGATCAGGTTCCTACATGAAACCCCAATCCGCAAAAGTGCCATGGGGCATGGGGGCGTGCAGCTCGGGTTTCCCCTCCCACACTCATGCGCAGAGACATGCAATCACCCTTCTAGCAAACCGTATGGAAGTGCTCATCACATTCGAATCCGTTAAACCCTAAACCCTAATCCCTAACCCCCAAACCGGAAAAAAACCTTGTAGAGACCTTCCAGAAGTCTCCTAGAAGCCATTTTAAAAGACCGCATCATGGAAAACTCTATAGACACATGATAGAACCCTTCTAGGATCTTTAAAACTTGTAGCTCCGTCAAGCCCTTAAGGCTTCTAGAACAAGAACCCCAAAACCCTAAACCCCTAAACCCCCCTAAACCCTAAACCCCTACTAAACCCCGAAACCCCTAAACCCCTACTAAACCCCTAAACCCCTAAACCCCCGGAAGTCGCCTCTGGGTCCTGGGACACGTCGGGACTGTTGGCCTCGGTCCTCCCTGGGCTCCGACTCTGATCCTGGAAGAACGGGGTGGCCTTGAGGGGTTTAGGAGTTTAGGCTTTGCAGGGAACTCCAGGAAGTTGGAATATGGTTTCATGGTAGGATACCCTATAATTTACCATAGAAGGGTTAGGATAATCATATTCCAACTTTCTGGCTTTTACCTTAGGGTTTAGGGGTTTAGGGTTTAAGTCTTAAGGTTTAAGGGTTTGGGGATTTAGGGTTTAGGTTTTAAGGTTTAGGGGTTTGGGGGTTTAGGGGTTAGGGGTTTGGGACAGTTGGGTGTTTATGGCTTAATGGTGACGTGAAGGGCATGTGTTTATGAGGGATGCTGCTAGAATGGGGCACCTTGGATTCAGGACACTCCCCTACACCAAGCGCAAGCTTAATTAGCAAGCCGGCGGCTATCGGGGTCTGAGGTGTGGGGTACTGCAAGCTAAACCTCAAATTCGACCTACCCAGAAACCCCCCTAAACCCTAAACCCTAAACCCTAAACCCTAAACCCCGGCTGAATTATGCGCTTTGCTGGCCGCAGTACAGTGCGTTTCAGGGGGCACTCTATACGTTGATTCCCAAACTACGGTTGATGGTTTTCGGCAGCTCCTAGCACTAGGGTGGAGTGATTTTGCTCGTACCAACAGAGCCAATTTAGACCTGTGGCTATGTGTTGCCGCCGTCGATACCTTGCGTAATTGGGATGTGGTTAAGGTTAAAAGTCACCAGGAGGTTGCAGCTTGTACTAGTGACTTTGAGGCTTGGTGTGTTTTTCACAACAACGCCGTTGACAAGCTAGCCAAAAGCGCGAATCTTGAGAGAGACCCGTCTGTTCGGGCCTTGAGAGATGCTGCAGAGAGAGCCCTGTCTTCACACAGACAGTTCCTTAGCAAAGTCCACCAACTGCAAACTCATGCAGCCACCTTATGCCGTGAATGTAGGAGTAAGCCCTCTTCCCAGGTCCCGCTAGATTGCTGGCAGTATTCCTCTCAGCATTTGACGTCTTTGCAAGTGCGGATAGCGACTGCGCTGTGGCCAAGCACGTTGCCGTCTTGGGAATCTTTTTTGTTTTGTAAAGAATTCGGTCAAGTTTTGCTAAACTGGCTACATACCTCGAATACTTGGGTTTATGACCCTTTGGGTTGTAGTTTAGTTGAGTTGTATGTCGCCTTTCTTTATGACACGGGGTGGTTAGTTCCAATCAACGTCGCTGGTTGGAAGCGATCGCCATTGCCAGATGGTACCGAGATGGCACCAGCAGTGTGGGTTCATGAAGCTCACTTTCCGAGCTTGATGCTGGCCAGACAGTCTCTTCAGCAGCAAGTCAGGACTTTTGC